GCTTAGGATATATCAGCACTCACTTCAATCATAGAAGGGCCAGCTTGTGGGGTTGTGATGCAAGGTCTATAACCAGCCTAGCATCAATCACAAAGCATGCTATGACAGATGGATACAGTGAAGAACATTCTTGAGCAAGTAGATATTGATGTTTTGTGAGAGGTAAGCAAACAATTCTTTGTTTGCTTTTGTTTGTTATTCATTTTTAGAAAGCTGTGATCAGGCTGGGTTGTAAATGAGGAGTCTGGAGAAAGACTAGGTAGGGGCTGCTTAAAGCACCTAAAGAAGAAGAAGTTCCCAGAGTAAGGGAGAAGGATGGTGGGGAAGGTAGGGACAGAGCATGAGACAACTGACATTTATTAGGCACTTGCTGTGTACCACATGCTGTTTCAGCTTACTTTATGTATCATAAGTATTGACTTGTCCAGTGACACTTGCAACACACCACAGTTGAAAACTGCCCTTATCCACCTTTGAAGGTGAAGAAACTGAGGTGTGGACAGGCGAAGGTGCCAAGAAGGCATGTCTTCACCCCATTTGTTGTCAACTGGATTTGTTTTTGTTCTCTAGAAAGCATGTCCACAATGAAAATTCAGCAAAGATATTCATCTCCATTGCTCTCATATCCAGTGTAAGTTGGTGTGTTTCCTATTAGAATGTTGTAGACTGCTTTATCCACTACTTATATACAATTGCAATCGTGGTATGTGTTTATATGTATTATGAGCATATTGTCTTCCTGACTATAGTTTTAATGGTGGTTTAATATTTTATTGAGTGGATATATCAGAACGATGTTTTCTGCTAGCACGAGCATTCTAGGGCATATGTCTTTCACAGAAACTCTTATTTTTTAAAGGTACGTTTCCTGAAGTTGAATTACTAAATGAAACAGAGTGGCTTGCTTCATGGTTCCTCCTTCTTATTGCCAATTTGCTTTGCACAAGACTGGAGGTCCTTCAGTAGTTTGAACAGTGTAGCAGGTCACCAGTTTACCTGTATGCTTGCCAGCACTGTATACTATTACTATACTTGTTTTTGGAAAATTTATTAGGAAAATATAGTAGACAACTTTAAACATAATCTGTATCTCTTTACCTGTTAGAGGGATTTGTCCTTTTCTCTCATGATGCTTGTGGTTGTTTTTGTAATTTTTTTTTTTGTGGTAACATTAATTTTTCCAAAGCAAAAATTTGCATGTTAGGATAAAGTGTTTGTTGGGATGGGGATGTGGGTCAAATTGAGCAACCAGAAGCTTCTGTGTCTGGGAGAAAGGCCATTCTTTGATGTCAATGAGCAAGGCAGGCTGGAGTTGCTCATGGAGTACATGGAACACATTCTAGTGCAGTCTGGAAAGTGCTGAGGCTTGTCATCTTCTGGTTTGTATCTTTGGTTCCTTTTTATTAGGCAAATAAAATATGTTCATTATAGGAAAAATAAAGATAAGGACAAGAAATCAAAACCATCCATACACTCACTATCCAAAGATAAATACTTTAACATTTTATTAAACATTGTTTCTTTTCTTGCATACAAAACTTCATATAACACACACACACAGACACACAGATACAGTACACGTTCATTTCTGTCTCATAATATTTATTTTGATCTTTTTTCTCTCAACAGTTTTTGCTTTTTGTCCCTTCTCTTCCTCTTTCACTCCCTCTAATGCTTAAATGTCTTTGATCTTGAAGTTGTTTGCATTTCCTTATTAAGAACTGCTGAAGAGGTTTGGGACCTTGGGCCACATTTTCAAGGTCCTAGGGAAATCTTGTATCTGAATCGGAACCAAGTGACACAGTTGGTGTTATGGTTGAAATATGAATTGTCCCCCGAGACTCATTTATGGAGGGCTCGATCCTCCATGCACAGTGTTGAGGAGTAGGGCCTAGAGGGGTGCTGGGATCATGAGCGTCTGAATCTCTTCAGTGAATTCACCCTCTGGGAGTTTGGAGCTGAATGGGCAGTTACGAGGTGGAGCCCAGCTGGAAGATGTAGGTCACTGGGGTGTGCCTTTAAAGGCTGTAGCTTGCCCTTGGCCTCTTCCTCTCAGGCTCTGTCCCTCTTTTTCTGCTTCCTGGTGGCCATGAGAGGAGCAACGTTCCCCCACCATGCCCTTCTACCGTGATATTTCTGCCTCGCCACAGGCCTGAAGCAATGGAGGCCAGCTGACTGCAGACTAAAACTTCTGAAGCCATGAGCCCAAATAAACCTTTCCTCCTCTAAATCATTATGCTCAAATATTTGCTCACAGTGACAAAAAGTTTTCTTATACAGTTGATTTTATTTCTATGCTTTTTAAAAAACCTTAATCTATTCACTGCCATATTCTTTTGATTGCTAAAGGGTGTCTTGCCTAGATGCAAGTGTAAACATAGGACAAATCTGTGTCTACTGTAAATCATAATCCTTTCTTTGGAAAAATCTACACCATCTAGATTTTCTCCAAAGAACTGATAAAAAAAAAAACAAAAACTTCCATCATGGTGGGTGGAGATTATTTCTGTGACTGATGTATTAAAGTTTCTAAAACAGTTTTTTTTACAGATCTAATTGATAGAAGAGGAGCCTCAATCTGGTTTTACAATTCCTTCATGCCTTCTTAACTTTTTAAAATCTGTTCTATAGTATTAGGATAGTTGGATTCCTATGAGGCTACTAGAGCCACATTCACAGTCAGAGGCAGAATTTTATATGTAACACCTATATCCCTGCTATGTAATACACTCGTCTAACCTCTTAGAACCTCGGTACTGTAGTTGTATAACTAGTAACAGCAGCACCTATGTTGTAGGTTTGCCAAGGAATTAAGTGGCAAAAAGAAAGGGAAAGCTTGGGAGCACAGGAACTAGCACACAGAGGGAACTCCTTAAATGCTGGCTATGATTATGTTAGGGGCTGGAATGGTGTTTATCCCACCACGTATCATAACCTGTGGTGGTGCTGGAAGCTCTCCCAAGCCTGCAAACAATATGTGGAATGGGTTACATGTACCACCCCTTTCAATTTCTCCATCATTCTATTGGTCAATGAAAATCCTTTGTTTCATGAATTTGTTTATTCACCAAATATTTAAAATCTATATTCCAGGTGCTATTGTGGGTGTTGGAGATACAATAGTGAACACAGTGAAATTCCTGCTCTCCCAGAGCTTATGTCCAAGTGAAGGAGACAACAAAGCCATAGTGCTTGGATGAATATTTCAGGTGGGGGTAAGATTATGAGGGAGAAAAAAGCAAGACATGGAACAAGAGCTTGCAGAATGGCAGGAGGTTGCTGTGACACGTGGGGCCTTGGGAAAGCCTCTCTGAGCCTTTAGCAGAGACCTGGACGTGAGCCAGCCATGTGGATAATCAGGGACGGCAGGCCAGGGAGGGAAAGCACCCTGAGGCATGTCAGGGGGAATGCACTGTTGGAGATCCAGCGAGGAGGAGCTGGTGTGGCTGGTGGTCAAGAGATGAGGGAGAAGTGTTAGCTGTAGGAGGTAACATTTTGGAGAGCCCATAGGACAATGTAAAGATTTTAGCTTCTGCTGAGTAACACAAGAAGTCATCATCAGGTGTTGAGTAGAGACATGACACATGGTCTGGTGTCACTGTGACTGTTGAGGAAAGTCTATAAAGTGGGCCAGGAGGGACAGGGATGCCAGCGAGTTGGCTGGGGAGTAGCCATGCTTGTGTCGTGGGAGCTTGGCTCTCAGTGGTAAGGGGAGGCTGGGAAGAGGGGCTGGGTTGGAGAAGACTTTGCTGGCACAGCAGAAGTGGGAGGGTGAAAGTACAGTATGATGATTTGGACCCAAGTAACCAGTACAAGGTAAGGAACACAGGCAGAGCAAGGATGAAGGGGTTGGCTTGGGTTACATTCAAGATGTCTGTTAGATCACACAGCTGTGATGGCAGGGGCACAGACATTTAAGCCTAGGGTTTTGGTGAGGGTGTGGCTAAACACTTGAGAGTCTGGCACATTTATGGTTTGGATGCTGAGTGTCCCTTAGAGGCCTGTCCCTGAGTGAGGGGCTGGGAGATGCTGTGGTCCTTTAGGAGAATCTTAAGTCTCCAGAGGTGAGCCCTTGGAGGGGTGGTTGGACTCCCACTTCTGATCCGAGATCTAACCCCTTGCTTCTTCCCACATGTGTTCTAGCTGCTGCCATCTGCACCCAAGATGATGCAGCCTGGGTGCATCTGCTGAGCCCCTACTGTGCTTTTTTTTTTTATATCTAGCTTCTAAAACTGTGAGCTAAATAAGCCTTTCCCCCTTTAAGTCAGCTGCCTCAGGTATTTTGTTTTAGTAACGTGAAGCTCAGACAGCATACAAATAGTATTTAAGGCCATGGCAAGATCACCAAGATATGAGCATAGACAAGAAAGAAAAGAGGCCTGAGGGACCTCAAAGTGGTACAGGTGGGGAGAACCTTCAGCGGGTCAGGAAACCAACTTAAGTGAGCAGCTGTGACTGAAATCCAAACTGCACGGTCTCGCTCTGAAGTCGGTGTCCCTAACCCTCAGCAGCACTCCAAATGCCGGAGCAGAGAGGCCTCTTCCTGGAGACACAAAACAACGTGGCTGGCCAGGCTTGCCTCTGCTCGTGCTGAAGGAGCCAGCAAGGCCCTCACATTTGGGCACACAGACACGGCCTTCGCTGGTACGACCAGATACACATCCATCAGCTTGCCTGGTGCAGTACTTAGGACTCTCGGGGGAGCACGCAAGAGCTGGTAATTAAGAAAGATTCTCTTCCTGAGCTGTATGGGTCACAGTGACTGGCAGGGGTAAGGGATTGGTGGCTTCATAAAGACCACCTAAAAAGGCAGTTGACCAGCAAGGGAAAAGCAATCATTGCCACCCACCCACTACCACCTCAGTTTCAGCCAGGGACCCAGAGAGAAAGCTGAGCTGCTTGTGGCTCTCTGCACCAGATGCTATTGGCCTCATTTTACAGCTGTGAACAATCCTCAGGCAGCCCGAGGATGCATTCCTTCACTCTGCCCGGTCCCTTGGCTGGCAATGACAAGTTCTCCGGGGCTTAATTTCTACCTCGATCATGATCATATTCAAGATTCTGAATGAGCCAAGCCTTCCATTTTACAGTGCTGCATGTGTGCATGTTTTAATCTTTAAAAACTTTATGCTTTAGAGCTCAGCACATAGTAAATGCTCAGTAAGAGGTTAATAGACTTGAGGCTTTATGTGGAGTCTTCGGGAAAATGCCTGGAATCAAGAATCAGGAGCCCTGGAGCTAGTCTTTGCTGAACAGCTTTGTGATATTAGACAGGTCACTCTTCTTTCTGGATCTTGATTTGGGCCCCCTTTCAAAAATTACCTTTGGGGATATTTTTGATATGAGATTAGGATTTGCTGAAAGGTCCAGAAGGTCTCAGTAAAAAGAAATCCCTTCCCCAGCTGCTACTAAATGCCACACTGTGCTCCTTGTGAACAGGCATGATAGAAGGTTTGCGGGAGGGGGCAGAGGCATGGGGCCATTCTCTTCCCACTCTTCCTCACACCCAGGCTTCTCAGGAGCTCAGCTTTATGTGAAGCTTGGCTGGACAGTTTCCTGGAAGCTCAGTCCGGGTCACTTCCCATGGCGGCCCAACCGTGGCAAAGCAAGGGCTGTGTGAGTTCGCTTTGCCTGTTTGAGCGCACACATGCGATTATGCTGATGGGGATGTGGCCACTGCCCGGCTTCCCTGTGCTTGAAGCCAGATGGATGAGGGCCCTGTGAAGTCCCAAGCTGGAAATCAGGGTATGGTATGCACATTGCACAAAGGAAGGCGCTCTTTTCCTCAGCTGGCTCCTGAAGGAGAACTTAGTGTATATTTGCTATATCTATGTGAAGCTCTGCTTGGGAGCAGTTTTTCTGTGTTCATGGGCTGGTGCCTCCATCCTCGTTGCCAGCACATTAGCTCTGGCCAGGGCTTTCTTCACCACAGGATATCTGCACAGGCTGCTTCTGCAGCGAGGGCCTCCGTCAGCCTCCTTCCAGTCCCTTTCTGCAAAGGAGCTAGAGTCATCCCTCTGGAGAAAACCAAAAGAACCCCCCCAAAACAAAAGAACACCCTAGACCATGCAATCTCCCCACTGATGAACCCTCTGGAGACTACACCGAGCTCAGTGTCCACACAGAGGCCCCGAGGCCTGCGGGACCCTCCCCACCTCTCCTTGTCAGGCGCCTTGCTGCTGTGTACACTTGTGTTCCAACCACATCGGAGTTCCCGTTTGTTACGGTCCTGTCTCACTCCATGGTTTTGTCTGATCTGCTTTCCCTGCTCAGAGTATTCTTTTCTTGCCTCTTCCTCCCTTTCCTTATTTTATTTTATTTTTTGACTTTTATCAGTATGTGTTCACAGTACGGAACACTTACATTCCTCATAGGGAACTGGGACATGTACATAACACATTTCAGTTCTCTTCTTTCCCTTCCCTCCACCCGCATCGGATTCATTTATTGATCTTACAGGACCTTATAAAGTGAATTGTCATATATACAGACGAAGAGCCAGACTAATAGGCCAAAAACCACATAAACCATGTAAGATGGTTGTACGAAGTCAAGGTGCCCTGAAGGTATACTTTTAGATACATTGTGCCCACTGCATTACAATAACAATTTTTCTCCTTGCCTGTTATCACTGGCCATTTTGAAATTAAAGCTCTCACACTCTCTCTCTCTTTTAACTGGCTCATCTCCTTATGCACTATAGTGTGCATTTATCTATGTTTCTTATTTGTGTTTCCCCCACCACCCCTACTAAACTATAGACTGTAAACTGTAGGGGGCAGAAACAGTTTGTTACTGACCCCTGCACCCATCTCGGTGCCACGTACATAGCCGACGCTCAACTGCCCGATGTGGTTCTGCTCAGCTTCCTAATGCTCCCGCCTGACTTCCACGTGCCCATTGCTGAAACAAAAGGGAAATCGTGAATGAGGCAGCACAGAAAGAGCTAGGAGGCCGTTAAGGACACAGGACTTCCACACATCTCAGATGTGTGCCTCGCTGAACTCTGGGTGCCTCCACCCTCTCACTGCAGGCCCCCGGGAGGACAGAATGCCTGGATACTGACCCTGTGCCCAGAGACTCCAGATGCGTCTCAAGAGGCAGCAGACTCCTGTATCGTGGATGTCCCTAGTCGGTGGAGCGTCTGTTCTTTACCTTCTGTCAGCCATATCCCCTGCCGAGCAGTCTCTACATTCTTTTCTAGTGCCAGTAGAATTTTCTCTTCAAATAATTTTAATCATTTTATAATGATTTAAGAGCTTCTTCCCCACTTCCATTGCAACAGTCATTCAGAACAATTCCTAAGACCTCAGATGAAGTCCTTTATTTTATAGTTTCTGAATATGAATTGGCAGCAGTTGTCAGAGTAAAGCTCCCCCAGTGTGCAGCATTCTTCCTAACCTCCGGTCCTTGCCTATACAGTTCTTTCACCTGGAATGTCCTTTTTTCCATGTCTCTATAGAAAGATGAACTCACCCTTCACACCTCAGTTCCAAGATCTTCTTCTCCTCGATGCTTGTCCTAATCCTTCCTGGAAAAATCAAAAGCACCAGGTCCATGGTTTGTATATACCCCCATCACAGGCTTTGCCCCTCTGCCTGTCTTACAGGTTCCATACCATTGCTTCCATCAGATGGACACGTTACAATCGAGGAAGAGGTCTGATCCATCCTACATTCCCATTTCTTAACAGCATTTGCTGCCAACAAGCCAGCACTTGTTAAATGCTTGTGGAGAGAATACACACACTAATAAATAAAGGTGCTTTCTTTGCCAAATTTCAGCCTTTGGAGACTTTCTGTGAGAAATCTATGTGTGAATGCTTGCTCTTTGAACATTCCATCTGGAAATTTTCTCTGTGGCTCCTGGTTCAGGGAGGTACCTCTTTGTTTTGTATTTTCTAATATTAGACAGTTGATTTGGTTTTCAAAAATGTTCTGCTCTTGCCTGCTTTGAAAGCAACCTAGCAGTCAATAAAAACAATCTAGCTGAAATTGGGATGGTGATAGGGGACATCTCCAATTCTAAGTACTTATTTCTTACCTTATCCACCCATAGAACTGGTTAAGGATTCATTCACATTCATTCATTCATTCATTCAGTCAGTCAGTCAGTCAGTCGGTCTCGGAGTCATTTGTTAATTCATGAATTACCCATTGTTCGCCTGCTGTGTCAGGCACTAAGTTGGGGCTGTGAGAACAGAGATGGAAGATGTAGCATGATGGTCCCTTGTCAGTGAGGAAGTGAAGACAGACAGACAGACAGATGGTGTGGTGTGATCAGTGTTGTGATGGGTGTGTGTGTGCGCACATGAAGTCATGCAGAAACAAAGGAATAAGACGGCCTCCTCCTTGAAGGGAGGTTAAGGAAGTCTTCTGAGTGGAGGGTCTTTATTGCTGACTTTTCATAGATGAGCAGATTTGTCCTCTGGATCAGGGAGTGAGGGAGGCAGGAAAGAAAGCTCAGGATGGTGGAGAGAACAATGTCCAAGGGCAGGAAGCCAAGAATAGAGTAGCAAGTGTGTTTGAGAAATTACAAGCAATTTGTGGATCACTGTCATCCAGAGCTTTGCTATTCAAGATTTGGTGTGTGTGCGGGCAATACACTGTCTGGGAATATGCAGGAACAGCAGAACCTCTAGCTCCACCTGGACTGGGAACTAGAATCTGTATGTAGCAAGATCCGCAGATGCTTCCTGTATGCATTAAGACTTCAGAAGACTGGAGAGAGAAGTGTTTCTTGAACTACGGAATCTATCAGAACACATGAGGGTTTTGTAAAAAAAAAAAAAAAAACAAACCAACCCAGGTCACTGGGCCCCCACTTGTGTTTTTTGTTTTTTTTTTTTTTGGTACTGGGAATCAAACTTCAGGACCTTGTGCTTGCTAGGCAGGCATTTGTACCGCTGAGCTATATCTCCAGCCTCCCACTTGTGTTTCTTAATCAGCCACTGAGAACTTGGATTTTTCAAAAGTTGCAGGTACTACTACTGGGGATCCATGTGTCACTTTGAGAACTCTGGGGTGGAGGATGGTGGAGTGGTATACTCTGGGCTGTGAACTGGGGCAGGTGCAGGTAATCCTGGAGACCCTCACCCGGAGGAGTGTGGATTTTGTTCTGGAGTGCTACAGACTGCTGTGGAGACTTTATGTGGGAGAGTGACATGTAACAGACATGATGCTGTCAAGGTGGCAGAGGTCACTGTATTTCAGGCAAGACTGGTACCTTCTGAATCAAGTCAGTGGTGGCAGAGATGGCCTCAAGATAAATTTGAGGGTCAGGAGCTATAAGCATCAATGGAAAAATGTTTAAAGGTGTGGGTAGGGCTCACAGGCCTCCCTTATCTGGAGACCTGGCTGCAGGAGTCTGCCTGCCCTCATTTACTTCTGGGGTTGTGACCCTTTCCTGCCCAGCAATCTACCCATGTTATCTGTCTTCTCTTCACAGGTCTGCCCCTGGCTCCTCTGACAGGTCTTAGCTTGCAGTGTCTAAAAAAAGAGTGCAGTAAACCATTGAGAAATAGGATTTATTGATGGGAGGCATCTAATTGCTGCCAGACGTGGCAGTCTGAAGAGTTTATGGCCAAAGTGTTGGTGCCATTCATTAAAACCAAGTGGGCCCTTGCCACGGATGCTGTCACCCTGTGACCAGACCCATCTGTTCCTGTGCAAGCCCCTCCCCCTGGTCTGTAAGTGGAGCCTGGCTGAAGAGGCAGCAGTGATAAATCACCCGGCAGCAGTCTGGTGCTGGAGTTGGGCCATACTGCGAGCTCTTGAAGGTGCAGGTCCTGGTTCCAGGGCAGGGCTCCAGGGCAATCACAGCCTGTCTGTTTTTGTCTCTGGGATCCCTGATTTCGTAGTAAAGTGACAGGTCCTTTCAAAACAGTGACCTCCTGCACTATGACTTCCCTGAGGCCTTCTGCTCTTCCCTTTTGCATCTCACCTGCCCCTCCCAGAAAATAATGGAGACAGCAGAGCTTAGCACAGCCTCTCAGCAACCAGGAGGCTTGGTAAGTTTCCCAAAGTCACACGGGCAGAGGAGCGATGGCACGCTACCCTCGCACGAAGCCGTCTTCTCCTCTCTGCCCAGTCAGCTGTTCCAGCCGGGCAGTGGGCGCAGTGGGCTGCTCTAAGCACAGACAGACCTGGCTGTGAGAGGCCCTGGCTGCTGAAGGGCTTGGGTTTAAATCCAGGGTTTTTCTTGAGTCATCTTCTGAATTTGAGAGAGATGCTCTGAGCCTCGCCATCTCCAGATGTGCAGTGGGAAGAGGGAAATGTGTTCTCTCCTTCCCGGGGCACTGTCCGAGTTGACTGGCCTTGCAGGATCTGGCACTGGTCTCCCTCCTCCGCCTGACTTGAGACCCTCTCTGCACCCCACATGACGGGCAGGGCTGTGGATGCTCAGATGAGATAATGGAGGGAATATACTTTGGAAAATCCTTGCACTCTTCAAATGTGAGGTAATTATAAGAAAATGGACCTGCCACCGCCCTGCCAAAAGCCAGTGACTTTGAGATGAAAAGCAGACCGGAAAGTCTAAGATCTTCATCATTGTGATTAATTGTGATCAGAAGAACATTTATACCTTTTCAAACATCTAGCTCAAAGGTTGTTTTGTGGACTCGAGAAAATGCGCATAAAGTTCAGGGACCTGTGGTGGGCAGTGGGGAGCTTGCAGGTATTTGTGGCCTAGGATGCGGCTCTGTCCAATCATCAGCTCTCCCCAGGGCCTTGCCATCTCATTTTTCTTAGCCTTTCCTTGTCCGTTGGCATATAGTAGATGCTTGGCAGTTCCTTAAACTAAAATGAATTGGCTCCTGTCATATTTCTTGGGCTGTTTGAAAGCAGAGCCTATGTTTTACTCATTTCTCTCTTTCCAGAGTCAAGCTTCATGTCTGACACAGAGTAGGTGCTTAGTAAAGTCAGGTTGGATTGAAATTAAACTCTGTAAAAGACAAGGCTGACTTACCTAATGTCTGCACAGAACCATGGTGGGGGGAGCAGCAGCTAGGGCAGGAGGCTGGGGTTTTCAGCCTTGTTAGGCATTGGTCAGACAACAGGCTCACTTCAAAGTCACGTGGTTGGGAGGAAGGGGATGTGGCCTCTCAGATGCATTTCTGGCTGGTGGGAGCCTCTGCCAGGGCTCCAAAGCCAGGAACAAAGCAGGCAGGGAGAGGAAGCAATTCAGATGGAGACAAGATGCACTTAAAATCTGCTTCCCTCTCTGCAGCCCTGGGAACAGACGTGACGGCAGTGTGAGCATTGGAAGGAAATGCTCACACTTAGCTTGCAGTCAAGTAGATCTGTGTGCACAGCCTCTCAGTGCCAGCTGAGGCCAGGGGAGCTTTGTTTTTCTGAATCTCCCTTTCTTCATCTAAAGAACTGCGTGCTCCTTCTCACTATCCACTGGTGCCATGGGCATCAGAAGCATGTTTTGGAAGCAATAAAACAGCCATTGATCATGCAGCTGCTCTGTGCTAGGCACCGAACCTAGTAGCGGTAGGGATTTAATTTGCAACACCCTAACCATCCTGCAAGGTGCTCCTTATTATCTCCAGTCTCCACAATGGAGGAAACCGAAATTCAGAGGCTTTGAGCAGTGTGCTCAGCTGGCAAGACTAGAATTCCAACCGGTAAATTCTTCGAAGACCACACTACAGACACACACAGGACAGCTACGTTTCATAAGGTTAAGGCAAGCCAAGAGCTCTCCTAGGGTAGCAGCTTTCCTTTATTGTCAGTTCTTTTCCTCTGCCTGCTTTAAAAATAAATTGAAACCTTTGGCTAACCTGGCTGTCTAAGGGAGAAGGAGGAGAACCACTAAGTGATCTGCACATGGTCCGATTCTCTCTGTCCAGGTGCTCTTTGAATTCAGTGGGCCATGGAGCAGGAAATTATTTCTAGGAGTTTACATGAGGGAAAAGGGAAAGCTGCTGAGAGTTAAATATTCCCATGTTCAGACAACATGTGAAATATCAAAAAGTATCCTTCCAAAAGAAAACGATCAACTCTTATGACATTTTAAAGCCTTTCTTTGAAGCCTTTGCCATATTTGAGATAAATGCAAAAGGAATGGAAAGCACACGAACTTTTGTTGACGTCTACCCTGTGCGTGTGTCTTAATGAGCTGTCACCTTATCCTCACTGTGACCCTGTGAGGTCTGTTTAGTCCATTTTTCATAGAAGGAGGCTCAAGATGTAAACATTTGTTTGGGATCACACAGGAATAAGGCACCAAAGCCAAGACTGAAAATTTCATCTGCCTGCTCCCGAAAGTTACACTATTTTTTCTATTACATTATTTTCTGTTACCTTCTGCCTGCCAACATGTGAGTCTCCTAAATGCTCCTCCTTACTGAGCCCATCCCTCGGTCCTGTACAGTGCTAGAGAGATGCTGCAGGCTCATCTGGGAAAGAACTTTAGCTTTGAGTCTGCCTAGGATTCACAAAAGCCTGCCACGGAACACATAGGTGACCCAACGCTGGTGGTGCTTTTGGTGGATCATACACTAGCTTCACGGTCTTGTTTTGG